GTTTAGGGTTTGGGGTTTAGGGTTCAGGGTTTGGGGCTTAGGGTTTAGCGTTTGGGGTTTAGGGTTTAGGGTTTGGGGTTTAGGGTTTGGTAGAGGCTTTTCACCGACCAAATCGTCCATCCGTCTGGTTGGGGAGTCAAACGCTTCCAAAGCCATCGGTCCAAGGGCACCGGGTAGTCCGACACCACTTGTTGCAACTGCAACGTTTAGGGTCTATAGGGTTGAGGACTTAGGGTCTAGGACATTTTCAGGTGGGTAGTTACCGTTATAGGAAAGGTCTATATACCTTATGGAAGCCTTATAGAAGCCCTATATACCCTAAACTCACCACCTGTGGTTTCCTTTCATAGGGTCTAGGGGGTATAGGACTTAGGATCTAGGGCGCAGGGTATATCCCCAAGCTCCCCTCCCCCAGAGCAAATTTGAAGACCGTCAGTCCCCAAGAAGTATATTGTTGGAAATCCTTACTACGGAAACCACAACCCCAAAAAAGTAAGAAACGACTTGTACAAATAACCAGGAGCCTTCTTTATGACTATGCCAAACCCAACTTCCTAGACATTCTGGACTCCTGGATCCATCAGGCATAAACCCCACAGCTTCAGCTCTAAAACCTAAGCGCTGAATCGAAGCCCCTTCGAGCTCAAAGTCTAAATTTCAGTTTCCCGAGATCGGCTGGCCTCCATCTCCGGATCTGCTTGTTGTGAGCTCACCTACGCAGGTAGGGGCTCTCCTCAAACTGGGGAATTGTTTGAAAAGGACACATTACCCTAAGCCCTAAACCCTAAACCCTAAACCCTACTCTCTAAACCGGAAAGGAACCCTGAATGTCGGAACTCCCAGGGACGGACGGGGGTTTCGGGGCTCTCACACTTTACAATTTGGGGGGTTGAGAACATTCGTAGCTTATGTAGGGATTAAGGGTGCTTTGTGTAGGGATGCTTGCAAGGCACTGAAACTGTCAGCCCAGGTGGCAAAGGAACGGTTTCCAAAAAATGTATCAATGTAATACAAGATTATGTCGGTTTGGTGCTTTGTGAACTTGCAATGCCGATATAAAAGCAAGTGCATTGGAAAGTATGGCAGCAACATGAACATGAAATTTCCATATCCAAAACTCCTCGGCGAGCTCGAGGCAGCCTTTGCAATGCGTGGGGCTCGCAATGGCGAATTGTGCAGGACATGTTGCACGCAGGTGCTTGCACACCTGCACAAACACCCTAAACCCTAAACCCTAAAACCCTAAACCCTGAACCCTAAAACCCTAAACCCTGAACCCTGAACCCTAAACCCTATACCCAGCATGAGGGAGGCCTTGGTGATCTCAGGCTGTGGCCTTCGGAGGCATCCGGCCAGCGCACGAGCCCGTAGCCCAGATGACGTCTGAGAGCGCTGCTTCTAAGGGCGGAACCCTAAACCCTAAACCCTAAACCCTAAACCCTAATATTCGCTGCTTGTAAGGGCACACGGCTCACCCTAAACCCTAAACCCAGCAGACCGGCGTTGGCGGCTCCAAGCTCGCGGTGCTATGTCCCTGGCTGTCACGGCTTCTGGACGGCGGGTTTAGGGTATCTTAGTCTTGTGGATATTATGGCGCTGGGGTTTCGGGTATGTAGAGGTGCCTTGATAATTACAGTACGTAGGACTTCGAGGTATACGATAGGACATTGGCATTTAATGGGATTCTCTAGAATAAGCAAGGCGCTCTCAAGGAAGGAATAAACTGTACTGAACAAGCCCAACACTGTTGGAGTCCTTACAAAAGTCCTGTAGACTGCTGTCACCCTAAGCCCGAAAGCTAAACCCTCAACCACCCCCAAACCTCTGACTCAAACCCTCAACCCTAAACCCCAACCCTAAACTCCAAATCGCATTCCCTGGATGGCCTCAGCCTCTTTCCTCGGCGTTGCCGTGGCCTCAGCCTCCTTCCTCGGCGTGGCTGTGGAGGCCACACGGGACGAACCTCGGCCAGAAAACAGCAAAAGGCTCATCGAATAACTACTGTCTGCTATATGATGATTTATAACCGTAGTGTATATAATATCAAAGTACATCATATTCTACTAGGTCAGTGTATACTATAGTATCGTATATTCTGTTCTCATCACGGGCCACCATTTGGTTTTAACAGGGGAGCCGAAAAGACAAGGGGCAAAAGGAAACTACTCAAAAGCCTAGGAATGTTGGGGCGGCCTTAATACTGAGGATAGGGTTTTGGGGCCCATTATGCTATAAGTTTCATCTAGTTATTAAGGCCAATATATTGAATACTCAAAAACCTAGTAGACAGCTGCAGACTGGCATCTTCATGAAGCCACGGATCAACAAAGCGAGACATGTCGCATCGGTTGACAAAATCCCTGCGCCTAAACCCTAAACCCTCATTTAGCAGGATGCAGAGTTTAGCCTGAGAACCTTATACTATAATATTGTAAACAGGAACCCCCAAAATAGTCTATAGGCAGCTATTTAGGCCCCTACATTAGGCTCTGATTCTGTGTCTCTGGAAGTGAGACTGCACAGCGCAGGGATCCAAAGCCCTTCCCCAAATCGCCAGGAAGCTCATCCGAAGAGGGCTTGGGGTTTAGGGTTAAGGTAGGGGCCTCAATAATTAGAATAAGTTTTTGGGGGTTCCCTTATTATACGTATAGCATAATGGGCCCCAAAACCTTATTCCAGCTATTAAGACCCCTATATTACATCAGGGTCTACCCTGTACCTGCCGCAACCCAAGTAAGTCCCTAATATTACATCCAAAACAAGTTGTATCGAGACTACAGACAAGTAGGTTCTGGCTCCTAAACCCTAAACCCTAAACCCTTAAACCATCTCACTCTTCCCGCCAAGACGAGAAGCTTCGGGGGGGTGAGGAAAGTGTTACGGGCCCCAGTTGTGGGCTGTGGGTGCTCCTGGTTTAGGGTTTAGGGTTTAGGGTGTACATGGGTAGTTCTCTGAACTAGGGTCCCAGTCTTGGGAGCTTGTAGAGATTGGATCGCAATAAGTAGTCTTGCCTGGCGCCTGCAATGCCGTAAACAAAGTGCCTACTAATCAGGGGCGATGTCATGCTGCAAGAGCCCCTTGTGAAAGAACTCTTCCCGAACTACCCTGTCTTCATGCCTGTACCTTTGTTCAGGATGCCTTTTCCGGGCCGAGACCTTGCATCCTAAACCCTAGGCCCTGAACCCTGGATCCCTCAGAGCAAAGCCAGCTTTCTTCTTTTCCAGCTTCTTGGAAGGGCTGCATGCGTCCCATCTTGGGCCGCTCTGAGACCGCACGGCTCCAAGAACAGTTGCGGGGTAGGGTGTAGGAGTTCGGGTCCAAAACCCTAAGGCCCCCAAACCATGTACGAGGTATCAAAATGCCCGGATATTCCTGGTTGAAGATGGTCTTGAACTGGTGGTGCTAATTAGCTTATCGGAAATGTAAGGTCTCAGGTTTCGGGTTTAAGGGTTTCAGGTAATTGTTTCAGGGTTTTGAACTGTTCAGGGCTCAATTTTATAACCCAAACCCCAATGTGGGAACATGAAAATGTAGGATCGGGTCTTGGGGGTGCATTCGAGTATAGCCAAAAACAAGGAACCCTGAGGACAGTAATATTACGACATGTTGTATAATAATGTAGGGGCCTTAATAATTAGAATAGGGTTTTGGGGCCCACTATACTATAATTGTACCAAGGAGCCCCCAAATACTATAGGTAATTATTAAGTCCTAAGCTCTAAACCCGAAGCCCCATGCCAAGCCCTAAATCTTAAACCCTACGCCCTAAAACCTATGCCCTAAGCCCTATAAATCCGAAACTGTCCGAAATCCTAAACCCGAAGCCTAAGCCCCACATAAGCCCTAAGCCCACTGCTCCTTTGGGCCCTGGTTTCAGAGATCGACAAGGTGGCATCAAACGGCTCCAAAGGTGGGATCAAGAAAGCTGCCGGGGAATGCCTGGTAAGGGTCCTTGCGATGGGATCCTCAATCCTAGACCCTCCATAATTACATAGGGTTTAGGGTTTAGGGTTTAGGGGAGGGTTCTGGGGCCCATTATACTATAAGTATAATAAGGAATCCCAAAATAGTATCGGTAATTATTTAGGCCCCTACATTAAGGCCTAAACCCCGAAGCCCCAAGCCTAAAATCCCACCTTTCGAGGCAGTTCAGGTGTTCCAGATGCGAGGATGAGGTGCTTGTCAGAGCCATGGATCTCCATCTTAGGCTCCCTCTGCGTATGTTACCGAAGACCGGGATTGAAGAAATCAGGGTTTACGGTTCAGGGTTGAGGGTTTAGGGCTCAAGGTTTACGATTCAGGGTTTGGGGTTTGGGGTTCGGGGTTTCGGGCTTAGGGCCTGGTGTGGGGACAGCGCGTTGTCTTTGGTCTCGGTTTGGCATTGAGAACGTAGGACTTGCCTAGAAACCAAGAACGCCTCGCCAACCGCGCCTTTGTTGAAATAGCTTCTGACGAGGCCCAAAATAGCGCTGTTCATAAGCTCAGGCGCTCTTCATCAATATGCCGGTAGGTTGGGGGCCTTGTAGACCCTGCTCTCTAGACCCTAGATCATGATTAGTCCCTTCAACGCGGCTAGAATACATATTTTGTCAATATATCGACTAGAGGATAGTTGTTCAGTTGTTCGTGCTACCAGTTTTTCAGACATGGATAAGAAGCAAAATTAAAGGGTAAGGGCTCCGAGCCCCGAAGTGCAGGAGTTGAGGAAGGCACGGCGTTTGGCTGCAAGCGATGCCAGCGCGCTTCTCTTTGGTATAGGGTTAATGTAAGGGCCTTAATAAGCAGAATAAGGTTTTGGGGTATAATATTCTACTATAGTTATAATAAGGACCCCCCCCAAACAAAAAAATGTATAGGTAATTATACAGGCCCCTATATTAAGTTATGAAAGGCTTCCGCCTGAGGGTTTAGGGCTGAAGGGTCTGGGGTGAGGGCTTCCTGGCCTGGTTGGTTTTGGCTTTAGTAGGGTTTAGGGTTTAGGGTTTAGGGTTTAGGGTTTAGGGTTTAGGGTTTAGGGCGGGTGTTGTTCATTTGGGGGTTCCCGAAAATAGGGGACCCTAATATAGTACCCTAAATAGTAGGATCCTTATTATAAGGACCCCAGAATAAGGCACCCCCTATTTTCTGAAACCCCCATTTGTCCAGGCTTCAGTTTCAGGGGTTGGTTTTACGGGTCTGGAGCTTGGAAGACGGTGTGCCGGGTCCTCAAAACCCCGGCGTGCTTCAACTCTTAGTATGTAGGCTAGCTGAGGAAGCTGATTAAGCAACATCCCTGTGTCCTAAACCCCAAATACATATGATCCATGCTACGAGCCCTAAGCATGCTTGATCAGAGTAATAGGAAGAGTAGGAACCAGAGGATCTTGTGATCTTCTTCAAGTTTACGTGTTATCGAAATCTCCTTTTCCGGCAGGGCCTACGCATGAGGGCACCGCAAATCCTCTCGCACCCAGCCGAATGGTGAGACTCATGCATGGGAGGGCAGTGCCCCAAATAAGCCCTAGACAGCAATGAAACCCTCAAGCCCAAAACCAGAACCCTAAACCCCAAACCCGAAACCCTAAACCGTAAACCTTAAGCCTGTACTTTCCGGCCCGCCAGGTCTGCGAGTGTATAAAATTCACGACAAAATGCCCCAATATAGGAGACCTAATAATTAGAATAGGGTTTTACGGTATGTTCTACTATTGATATACTGCAGAACCCCCATAGTATTGGTATAGTGTTTGGGCCCCTATACATACATATATCGCGACCCCACTCATAAGAGCCCGTTGCGAAGTCCCCGAACTTGCCCTGGCTTTCGGGGGAGTGTTCTTAACCCTAAACCCTAAATCTTAAACCCTAAATCGGGAGTGTTCTTAACCCTAAACCCTAAATTCTAAAGCCTAAATCCCTAAACCCTAGTGCGTCATGGTGTTCCCATTGCGCACTCTCTGGCCTTATAGGGCCTGCATCTCCTGGAAGTCCGAGCTCCATTGAAGGCGACAGAAGTGTAGGACGAAACTTAGGGGGCACCTTCTTAGGGAGTAAGGATTAGGGTTTAGGGTTTAGGGTTTAGGGGCTTAGGGTTTAGAGTTTGGGGTTTACCCTAAGGGTCCAAATACCTGATAATCATATACTCTCCCAAATATTAACCTACATAACTACTATCCGTAGCCCAAGTACATGATTATTGGGTCCTTTGGACACTTAGGGTTTGGGTTGTGTGAGATCTCGTTTTAAGAAAGAGATGTCTTTATTTGTGTAGTGTCCCCGAATGAGAGACTTGCCTATACTATAGGTCTACATTGCATAAACCTAGATCTTTTGTCTGGTTCAAGAGCATCGGAAATTCACAGGGCTGATTTGATGAGGCCGTTCCCTCACTTTCCCATTAGGACTTCTGTGTGGCGGACGGCTGTCACATAACGGAGCAAGTCGAGGAATTCCTGTGTGTCTCGGGATTCGGCATGTCGTTTCAGGTTGTTGGACCCAAAAGCCTGTTCCGGCATCAGTATAGGCTTCCTTTCGGAGGATTGAAGGGAATCTATGTCAGACATGGCATCAACTCTAGCGACAGGCTCAAGCCCAAATCCTAAAACCCCTAACCTCAACAGATTGTTGGTGGAGTGTCTGCAGCGTTGTATACGGTATTATGAGTTTGTAATAACTGCAGCTTCAGCTTATCGAATCTTCATGGTTAGATTTGAGTTTAGGGTTTGCGGCTTTGGGGTGCCGTTTGGGTGCGTGGGCCAAAACGTTCAAACAACAACGTCGTGGTGCGGCGCCGGGACCTCGACGATGATGCGCGGCTGGTCCTGCCAAATGTCCACTTGCACCACTCTTTTTTCTCACGCCGTTGATTTTGACCCTATAAACCCTCAACCCTAAGCCCTAAACCCTAAGGGTCCCTGACTGCGTCTCCCTGCTCGAACGCAAGCCGCCCGCCAGGCGCTGAAGAGGAGCCTCCAAGCCGCTCAC